TCGGGGAGAGTGGCATGCCCAGGGAGGGTCTGGGAGCTCCACGTCCCTTCCCCACATGTTTTTCTCTATGCTTCTCCTCCATCCAGTTGCTAAGTAAAATCTTTTCCTGAGTTCTGTGAGCCGTTCTATCAAATTAATCAAGCCCAAGGAGGGGGTTGTGGGAACCTCTGGTCTGTGGCTGGTTGGTCAGAAGCACAGGTGACAAACTAGATTTACAACTGGCATCTAAAACGGGAGGCAAAGGGTAATCCTGTAGGACTGAACCCTTAACCTGTGGGATCTGATTCTATCCCCAGGTAGATAGCATCAGAATAGAGTTAAATATGTTTAACTTCTTAGCCAGTAAGAAAAATAAAGTGTCTAAAGGGAAGGCACAACTATCTAAAGAGACTGTAAAGTATTTGGGGTTCATCATTTCAAGGGGACACCATAGCCTTCTCCAGGAGAGGAAAATGGTACTATGTCACCTTGCTTCACCAAAAACTCAGAGGCAGCTATGAGAATTCTTGGAGATGGCTGGCTTTTGCCGCACTTGGATCCCTAACTTTGGATTAATTGCTAAAGATATCTATGATAAACTGCAGGGGCCAGAAACGGACCCCTTCCAATGGGATACGCTATGTGACCAAGCTTTCAATAAGCTTAAAAACTTGCTAATAGAAGTGCCTGCACTGGCCTTACCAGACCTGAGCAAAACATTTGATCTATATGTTCATGAAAGACAGGGAATAGCTATAGGAGTGCTAACACAAATGTTGGTACCCCTAAAAGGAGTGGTAACCTATTACTGTGGAGAAAGAATAGCCCCCAAGCTTGAGAGCTGTAGCCGCCCCCCGCCTCTTAATCAAGAAAGCTGAAAAACTGACCATGGGCCAACTTATGACAGTGTGGACCCCCCCATCAAATCTCTAGCCTACCATAGACTAAAGGACATCTATGGCTATTCCAAATAGAATACTACAATATCAGGCTAAGCTGCTAGATTCCCCTCAGATTTCTTTAAAACCCTGTCATACCTTAAAACCAGTTACCCTGCTCCCTGATTCCAATGGCCCTATTACCCATGCTTGTCCAGAAGTGATTGATCGGGTTTACTCTAGCCACAGAGATCTCAGGAGCAAACTTGCCTAATGCAGAGGAAGTATGGTTTGTAGATGGAAGCAGCTTCATGAATAATGAACAAAGAAGAGCAGGTTATGCAGTAGTGTCTCTGCATGCAAGCATAGAAGCCAAGGGGCTGACACCAGGCATTTTGGCCCCAAAGGCAGAAATAATTGCATTCACCAGAGCTTTGGAATTGGGGGATAAAAATAATAACAATATACACAGACTGTAAATATGCTTTCTCTGTAATTCACACCCATGGAGCCATTTGGAAAGAAAGAGGACTTCCTAACAGCAGCAGTAAAGAAATTAAAGATGGGCCAGAGATACTTAAACTGCTAGAACTGGTACAGGGCCCCAAAGAAGTAGCTGTGGTCCATTGTAAAGGCCATCAAAGTGGGGAATCAGGGGCCATAAAAGAGAATAACATGGCAGATGCAGCAGCAAAAAGGGCCACAATATCTGAAGAGCTTCTCCAATTACCATTAATTTCCACTCTACCCTTCTACGAATTTATACCAGTGTAATCTCCTGATGAAGTAAGGGACAGGGTTACCAGTGATCCCTAATAGCCAAGGGCTGGATGATAAACCTACGAGGGAAAATTTTGGTCCCCAAACAGCTTGGGCGCTCCTTAAGAGTGCTCATAATTCTACCCATTATGGAAAAGAGAACTTATACCTATGGCTGCAGGTAGTAGATGCACTCAATAAATATGGAAACTTCTGTCTTCCCTTGCCTACAGAGGTCAAACTCCACCCATACTAATCAGGAGTTTGGGTCTATCTTAAAACTTGGAAAAGGGGTTCATCTCAAGATCACCTAAATCCTCTTTGGGTAGGGCCTCGCTTGATGTTGCCAACCACACACTCTGATGTGAAACTCTTGTTCAATCATATATGAAACATCCTGTTTGGGGGTATATAACCACTCTGTATACCTCACTTCTTTGGTGCTCTTTCTTCCTTTGGGAAGAAAGGCCCCGGGCCATGGTCCTCAGATTACAGCTCAGAATAAACTCATCCAAATTTTCATTTATAGATTGGTTATTTTTGTCGACATAGACTATAAAAGAGGTGGTGGGGGCCAGCCCGGTGGCACAGTGGTTAAGTTCACACATCTGGCTTTGGCAGCCCAGGGTTCGCCGGTTTGGATCCTGGGTGCGGACATGGCACTGCTTTTCAAGCCATGCTGTGGTGGGCGTCCCACATATAAAATAGAGGAAGATGGGCATGGATGTCAGCTCAGGGCCAATATTCCTCAGCAAAAAGAAGAGGATTGGTGGCAGATGTTAGCTCAGGGCTAATCTTCCACAAAATAACAAAAAAATAAAAGAGCTGGGGGAAGCTGGAGGGGGTGGCAAGTATGCCTAGATCCTAAACATATACTGAACACATTGAGGCTATAAAATTACAGATGGTTGTTAGGAACAACTTGGGGCTACGCCTCTGGTGACCCACAAACCTATCTGAGATTAGCTGGAAGGTCTGCTCCACTCCTGGTCCCTACGACAACGCCCAAGCTCAGCAGGAAGCAGTTTCAGAAGATGGACCTTAGGAGCAGGATAAAAACTAGAGGAGGGATTTTGTCACTGAATAATTGCCCTGAGGAACTGAAGGATGGGTTTGGAAGCATTTAACTGTCTTTCCAAATTGGTTTTTTCCTTTTGTTATGTTAAGGAGATGTAATACCCACCACCCTGAACTAAACCAAGCCTCCCCACAAGAGCTACCCCTATGACCTTTGCCTTATTATTATTCTTTTTAAAGACTTTATTTTTCCTTGTTCTCCCCAAAGCCCTTCAGTACATAGTTGTAGGTCCTTCGAGTTGTGGCATGTGGGACACCACCTCAGCATGGCTTGATGGGCGGTGCCATGTCCGCGCCCAGGATCCGAACCTGTGAAACCCTGGGCCCTGGGCCGCCAAAGCAGAGCACAGGGAACCCAACCACTCGGCCACAGGGCCGGCCCCTGACCTTTGCCTCATTTTTAATGCTGAGATCTCTCCAGGAGGAGCTTAGGCCTTATTACCATAACCTGCAGTGTATGTGGAAGCATGTTTTGCATCCGAGCCTGCACAAGCAAATACTCGCCACTCCCTTTTGAATATTCATTCCCCTCTGAAATAAAGGTCCCTGCTTCCTTTTGTTCGGGGACGCCATGACTTTGGAAATGATTCCCCATGGTCTGCTATTTGCCGCAAACACACTTTGTGAGACAGCCACTCCTGGTGGAGAGTCTGATCTAACTCAACAGGAGGTGAACCCACTTTGGTTTTGGTAACACTTTTGTCTAAACTGCTTTTCCCCTTAGAGCAGCTTTCTCACAAACTTCATTGAGGTCTTTGTTCAAATGTCATCTCCTGAGAGGGCTTCCCTGACCACACTACCTAAAATGAGCCATCTCCCATCTCTATTTATCTGGCTTATTGTTTTTCATTGCCTTTTACACTACTTGAATTTCTCTGTTCGTGCTTTTATTTCTGTCTTCCCACCAGAATGTAAATTCTCTGGCTGAGAACAAGCACATTGGTTGATTTGTTTATTGCTGTATTTCCAGAGCCTAGAAAATGCCTGACACTTAATATGTACTCAAATATTTGTTGAATGAATGAATGGGTGAGCTTGTGTACAAGCGTATTCTTTAGAATTCTTTTGTTTCCTTGTTTTTTCCATAACTTTGCAGAGGAATAGTCAAAGAATTATGGAGTTTAACAATGCTTATAAAACAGCTATTTAAACCAAAAAACCTACTATAAATGCCGGCTATCCCGTTTGTGATTATTACCTATTGTCTCCTCTGGATTTCCTCTTTATTTCTGCTCTCGGGCCTGGATTGCATGAGAATAATGATTATTTAACTCAAATAAGTCTGAATTTTGAAATACCTGTTGTGTTCAGGGCTGTTAGGTGTTAAGGGGAATTCAACAATGTGAAAGCCCTAGTCTACTAAGGCCTAGAAGGAATTTAACTTTCTAGGTGGGGAAAATGAGATACCCACAAGAGAAACACCCAAAAAACATTTCAAAGACAAGGAAGTAAGCCAGTCATAGCGCAAGAACAGAAGGAATTCAGAATATTGGAATGATTTCTTCTTTAGTGGGTTTAATGTAGGAAGCAAATCTTAAAAGGCAGATAATGCTGGGAATTTCTGTAGTGGAAGAAGATGAATGTTCAAAATCTTTTATAAGCCAAAGTTCAAACACTCGCCTAATAGCACTCTGGGTGTTCTATTTATTGGCATGGATTGACGGTCAAGAGCAAATGGGTGGTTTCTCAGCTCTATCTTTCTTCCTCTAGCACCTGATTAACTGCAAATTTCCGGGTAGGCAGTTTCTCTACTAAACTCTTCCCTTCTCCACTGTGCTAAAACCTTTTTAAAATTTTTACTGCTGTATCAGCCAATTTGTAACAATGTCTATGCCTATGAATAAGCCATATTCTCATGGGACTGTCGTATTAAATTTGATCAAACTTATGAAGTGCTTAGGACTGCGCTGAGCAATCGTTCAATAAATCAATAAATGATATCACTATTATAAAAGAAATGTAACTGACAATACACCGGGAGATCTCGATCTCTACCATATAGGAGTTGGAAACAGGTAAGGAAGGAATCAGGCGTGGTCCCCAAACCTAGCTCAAACTGACAAGATTACCAGGCGCGCCCCTCATTCAGATCAACACCTCCTTCGCTCCAGGGCTGCCCACCAGCACAAGCCAGCCTAGGCTCCCGGAAGGTAAACACACCGAAAAGGGCGGGGCAGAAGGCGGGTTCGGAATGGGTGAGTGGCCAGCGCAAAGTGATTGTCAGCTGTCATGTCCACGTGCTCTGAGCTTCAAACCAGCTGTCGCGAGAATTCGATGTAAACAGACCAGTCCCCCTGTCCTCCGACTCCCAGCTGCGACGCTCCGGTGAGGTGGACAGGAGGCTGGGACATGATGCTTTTTGACAAAGCCCCGAAGGTGTTGCCTGCAAAGGAAAATAGACATGCTCGCAACTCCTCTCCACTTGCCTGCGTTCACAACCGAACCTGACACCTTGGCTTCACCCGAACTTACATACTGTTTTGTTTTCCCTCGAGCCCCAGCGGATTGGATAAATTCAGGAGGCGGGTCCGCCTCTTTTCTATTAGCTGGTTGGCGAAGCTGACCTCCAAGGGCGGTGCCCGGCCGCAGCCATTTGCCTCTGGGATTGGCTAGGACGGTAGTTCCGCTGAGGCGTGGTAGGAAGTGGTAGCCGTCAATCACGAGGGGAGACTCCAAACAGTGAGCCTTGAGCTGGTGAACAGCGTTTACCGGCGGGGCGGCCGGTGAGAAGGCTGGCGGGGCTGTGGCTTTGGGGAGGCTTGGCGGGGACGGGGGCCCAGCAGCGTGAGGGGAGAGGGCGCGGCTGGCTGGAATTCGACGAGGGAGAGCTGTCGAGACTGGAGGGGGAGGGGAGGCAGGGCAAGGGGCCAGAGGGCGGCCGGGGGCAGTGGTGGCTCCGCGTTGGAGGTTAAGTGGGTATCTCTGTGCTGGTGTCTTTTAGGAGAGGGGGGCCTGAGGGGCTGGCGAGGGTCGTCCTCAGGAGACAGGGCCCTTAAAGGACAGTTCTTGGGAGGCTGTGTTTCTGGAAATAAAGGGTTGAATGGAAATGAGAGGGCGGAGGGGCTGGCAGTGAAGGTGCTCACCGAGGAAAGGGTACCTGGGCTACTGGGGGCAAAGGGTGTTTTGGTTGCAGCAGATGGGACTTACCAGTTTGCGAGTTTTCAAATAAGGTGATAGAATGCTCTCTACTTAGAAGTGATGGTTTTAGGGGTTTTCAAGATTAGTTCCAGGCTGTGGGCTTTCCTGAGCCCTGCAAGAGATCTTTAATATTGCTGTCAAACCTCTTTTAACCTTAACCAAGTACACTCCATGCTCTTAAAACCTCCCCAGTGATTCAGATGCTGTTAGACATTCAAAGATCAGGATTTAGTGATGTGACAGGAAAGGATAAGGGGGTTCTAATGTCATAGAAGTTTTTATTACTTAGATTCTTGTGATTAGGTTACAATAGCAGGGGGTTTACAAATAGGATTTAAAAAATCTTGTTAAATTGTGATCATGCAGTCTTTTTTTTAGATGTAATTGACATAACATTGTATTAGTTCCAGGTGTACAACATAATGGTTTGATATTTGTATATATTGTGAAATGATCACCACAATAAGTCTTGTTAACATCCAGCATCATATGCAGTTATGATATGCAGTCTTACTCATAGATGGATTCCCATCAGTCTTAGTTAGAAACTGTTACTTCACTGTTCCATTTGGTCTTGAAATATTGTACCGTGTGTATTTTCACTATCTTAACGTAAGATTTCAGTAAATTCTTTAATTTCGGCCCACAGAGGTAGCACGTTTGTTTTTATAAAGTGATCCTGTGCTAGACTTCCCTTCCCATGATCTGGTTCTCTGATCTTTCTAGTTTCTGTTAACAGTAGATCAAAGGGTCCAGCAGGAGTGAACTAGTTATGTTGTTCTGAGGCTTTGTCCAAATACAGAAATCTCATGATAATTTGAAATTTTTTTTTTATCTGCTTCCTCTCTCACCCTCCCCCTTTTTTGTGTAAGAGGAATTGCTGGGAAAGTTTCCTACATTTTAGGGATTTTTGAAAAGGGATCTCTAGTGAGCAACCATAAACCTTTCCCTCTACTCCCAACAGTAATGATCCTTTTTTGTCTATCTTTTTGTTTTGGAAACAGGTTTTGTGAATGAAGCTATGGCTACAGATTCCCCCAGAAGACCCAGTCGTTGTACTGGTGGAGTTGTGGTTCGCCCTCAGGCTGTCACGTAAGCAAATTTCGGATACTCCTAATAGCTGAAGAAAGGATTCCTCAGACTGCTAGTCACTAACATTCAGGCTTTCTTTCTGGGCAGTGCATACTTTTGTAAAATCTATTTAATTTTGGCTCTACAGGATGATAAATATCATTGCCAAGGCCAAATAAAAGGAATAATTGGAGGGGCAAGTTGGTGTATTCAGCACATTTATAGACTACATGAAAAGCACTAGGCCAAATGCTGAAGGGTTATGTGTTTTTGAACTCCAGATTTAACAGTTAGCGAGTCGTTAAGTCACTTTAGTGGGTCAGGACAACTATTTAAAAAATGAAATAGAGTATAATAGAAAATGATGTTGAGAGTATTGTTTTGTGACACACACAAAGATATATTCCTATATATGTATATGTTTACTAGGTCATGATGTAAAATGTATCTCTTACTCTGGGTCTCAGTCAGAAAGTTCCAAAGTCAAACTCATAAAGAGTACATTTCTATATTTTAAGCATTCTTTGACAAAGTATATCTGTACTTCCTAGGAGCGTATAACCTAAGGTGGGAATTTTTCTTTTGTTTTTTTTCTTTTGAGGAAGATTAGCCCTGAGCTAACTACTGCCAATTCTCCTCGTTTTGTTGAGGAAGACTGGCCCTGAGGTAACATCCATGCCCATCTTCCTCTACTTTCTATGTGGGACGCCTACCACAGCATGGCTTTTTGCCATGTTTGCACCTGGGATCCGAACCAGCGAACCCCAGGCCGCCGAGAAGCGGAACGTGGGAATTTAACCACTGCGCCACCAGGCTGGCCCCTCTAATGTGGTTTTAAGATATGTATACTTGAAATCACTATAATCCATAAAGAAGATGCAGCAAAACATCATGAGAATTTAGAGGGAATATTTTAGTACTTTAGATCCAGAAAGGTTTTATTAAGAAGCTAACATTTATAGTGTACTTTCAAGGCTGAATAGAGTTTGGACAGTTAGAATCAAAGGTGCATTTTAGGCAAAGGGAGTAGAGTGAGCAGATGTGGGAAAGGCTAGCTATCTTCATAAATGAAATGCAGCAAAGTCGATGTATTTAACGTCGTTTGGCAGTAACCAGTTAAGACCTCAATACCTGCCTAAGGAGGTGAAATTTGTTTTCTGCCTTTTAAAATGCTCATAAGGGAATTATAGCGTTTGGGTTATCTCCCTTGGGCAATTTCTCATGTTACGTAAAGAATGTCTTCTCAGACTAACAAAAGTATATGTATAGTATGATATTTTACCATAAGACTTCCTTTTCTCCCCCCTGCATTTCCCAGGGCTATGTTTCTTTGCTAACTATGGACCATGGCGACAAGTTAAGCATATTATTAGCTATGAGTTAGGTACCGTTTCAGTCTTCATTTTGCAGATGAGGAATCCAAAGCAAAGAGAAATTAAGTAAATTGTCCTTGGTGACAGCCAAGGAAGGGAACCTGGATCAAACCTAGGTAGTTTGTCTCCAGAGTCTGTGCACTTAGGCAGTATTCTATGCCACCTCACCATGTGATATTCAACATATATTGCTCTTTTTGTTATGCAATAGAGAAATCTTTGATTCATTTAGTATTCTTTTAACAAATAATGCTTGAACTTCTACTCCGTGCCTAAGTCCTGGCTTATAGGTTCTGGAGATATAAGGTAAATAGACCTTTCTGTGGTAGAGTTTACATTCTAGTAAGGGAAACAGTAAACAAGTAAAGTAATTATAGGCTCTCATCAGCGCTCAGTGTGCTATGATGGAGAATGACAGTGGGGAGTGTGATGTAAGGCTGTCAGGGAAGTTATCTCGGGAGATAACACTTAGGCTGGAGATCTGAAAGGGAGGGAAGAGTATGGGAAGGAGTGCAGGCAGGAAGAAAGCTAGTTTAAAGGTCTTGATTCAGAGAAGAGTTGGGGGGGCCAACCCCGTGGCGCAGCGGTTAAGTGCACACGTTCTGCTTTGGCAGCTCGGAGTTTGCCGGTTTGGATCCCGGATGCAGACGTGGCACCGCTTGGCAAAAGCCATGCTGTGGCAGGCGTCCCACATATAAAGTAGAGGAAGATGGGCATGGATGTTAGCTCAGGGCCAGTCTTCCTGAGAAAAAAGAGGAAGATTGACAGCAGTTAGCTCAGGGCTAATCTTTCTCAAAAAAAAAAAAAAAAAAAAGAGCTTGGTGTATTCTAGGAATTGAAGTTGCATATGACTGAGGCAGAGTAAGTTAGGAGAGTGGCAGAAAAATGAGGTTGGAGAGGTAGGCCTAATTAGTTTTTGTAGGTGTCTAAGGCCTATTGCTTTTTTATAGGATGTAGGATAACTCACATTTTCTTTAAATGTAATTTTTCACATCTCTCTGAAATGAATTTGATTTGGTGTTTTGAGGAAAATTTCTTTTCTCTACTTGGCGATATCCATATACTTCCCATTTAAGATAGTAGTGTCCTCAGCAGTATCATTTTTTCGCATTTTTAACATTTTCCCATATTTTGTCTATGCCAAAAGTTCTGGGAGGACCTCTTCATAACTCCTTCTAATGCCTGCACCTGCAGCAAAATACAGATTCATTTTGCTGTATATACAGGTAAGGAGCTAGGTTCATAACCAGTTTAAAGAGAAGATCACTAAATATTGAGTCATCAGCAACAATTTTTCTTGCTCTAACTAGGACATTCTTCTGCTCTGACTCAAGAGGAAGGTCCCGCCTTAGCCAAGTCTTCTGTCATCACTCCTGCAAATAAGAGTTAGAAGTTATCTATATTATATTAAGAGAGCATGACTTTTAAGAAGAGATAATGTTTAAAAATGTTAAAATCTCATTTGCATTTAATAAGAAATACAAAAAAACTAAAAAGCAGGTTAGCAGAACTATCAGGTGATGAGAGTTGGTTTTTTTCTTTTGAGGAAGATTAGCCCTGAACTAACTGCTGCCAATCCTCTTTTTTTTTTTTTTTGCTGAGGAAGACTGGCCCTGAGCTAACATCCATGCCCATCTTCCTCCACTTTATATGTGGGATGCCTACCACAGCATGGCTTGCCAAGCAGTGCCATGTCTGTACCTGGGATCCGAACCAGTGAACCCCAGGCTGCCGAATCGGAACATGTGCACTTAACCGCTGTGCCACTGGGCTGGCCCCAAGAGTTGTTTTTTTTTTTTTTTGAGGAAGATTAGCCCTGAGCTAATATCTGTGCCCATCTTCCTCTATTTTATATGTGGGAGGCCTGCCACAGCATGGCTTGCCAAGCAAGCGTAGGTCCCTGCCTAGGATCTAAAGTGGTGAACCCTGGGCCACTGAAGCAGAATGTGTGAACTTACCCGCTGTGCCAGCAGGCTGGCCCCTTCTTTCTTTTTTCAGTGTTATGAATGACTTTATTAGGGCTCGTGGAAAGCTCTTTTCTATGTTCTGTCTGAAGCTGTTAATGATAAATTTTCTCCATTTCACCCCTTTTCAGGGAGCAGTCCTACATGGAAAGTGTTGTGACTTTTCTACAAGATGTTGTGCCACAGGTAAGTGTCTATATGGTTTCAGAAATAGTAGGTTTTATCATTGGCCAGGGAAGCTCTGAAATATTCTGTTTCCTAAACTTGACACTAGTATCGTCAACTTCAGAACGACTTTTGATGTTTTAGCATCCTGAGCATTGATAGGGTAGAATTATGTTTGTTATTATTATTAGATATGCCTTAGTTTTGTGCTGACAGTGGCACAATTATTCCTCAGGACTTGCTCTCCTAAGAGGAATCAAGGTGAGATGTGAGTTGAGAGATGGGACTTGGGGCTCTCTAGTTGGGTTCTATTTCCAAAATCTTGTCTTAGTTAAATGTTGTCTGTCTGAAGTGAGAAAAGCAGTATATGCTGTGCATTTCGTTAGCTAGATAGTATATTAACTAAATACTATACTGAGCACAAATCTGCATCTCTTTCATGTTGAGCAGTATTTTTATGCCACGTAGAGGATGCATTGGTACTCTGACTTATGTGAGAGTAAGCCCCTGGCTGTTCCCTCTATGTAAATGTGAGAATAAAGAATGAGGGCAGCCCTCCTGGGATCATCTCTAGAGCACTGCTGCCCAGACGTAACATAAGTATCACTTGGCCAACTTGTTAAAAATAATAATTTCCAGGCCCCTCTCCCAGATGGTTTGACTCGGTGGAATTGAGGTGGTGTCCAGTAACTGTGTCTGAAGTAAGAATCTCAGATGATTCTTGTGAAACGGCAGCTTTGGGAAGCACTGTTTAGTGGAACTACTGAAGAGAAAGGTTTCTGTATCTTTTCCCTGTGGTGATGTCAGTGTTCTCTGGCTGCCAAGTTATCTGAAACTGAACTGTTCAAAAGGACATTCGTAGATTCAGTGTTCCAGCTTTGTGAGAGCCTAGAAAAGTCTAAAATCCAGAGTTCAATTGTATTCATCAAATAAAGGAAAGTACCAAGAAATGTTGGTATTCCTTTATGCTCAGTCAACTTTAATGAAAGTAGGCCACGATCACAAGGTCTGTGGGGCCTGTAAGGAAAAATAAGTACTTTCCTTTCTCGAGGAACTTGGTTAATAAGGGAACTCAATGGGGCTGGCTCCGTGCGTGAGTGGTTGGGTTCGCGCGCTCCGCTGCAGGCGGCCCAGTGTTTCATCAGTTTGAATCCTGGTCACGGACATGGCACTGCTCATCAAACCACGGTGAGGCAGCGTCCCACATGCCACAACTAGAGGGACCCACAACGAAGAATATACAACTATGTACTGGGGGGTTTTGGGGAGAAAAAGGAAAAAAATAAAATCTTAAAAAAAAAAAATAAGGGAACTCAAATTGCTTGAAACAACCAAAGATAATAACAACATATCAGTAAATGTGACACATAGTACAGATTGAATATTTAATTGCTAAGGGAATGGGTAGCAAAGAAAGAGTGAAAGAGTCAAGTTTCTAAGGACGTTGGGAATAGCATTAGTTGAAATGAATGGAAAGGTTGGATGTTTGGTGTCGAAGGAAACTGGCTGGCTGGGTGTGGTAGGCAACAGTGTTGCTGTGGCCATCAAGCGTCTTGTGCTCTGCACGGATTGCCAGGGCTAGAGAGCAGACTGACCTGAAATCCAACTTGGTCTTCTACAGATTGCTCCTTTTTCTTAAACCCTGAGCCCTGGCATGAGGCTAGTTCCAAGTGAGGGGCATTTAAAAATTTTTGTAATTTGCCTGCCCCTAGAGTACCTCTTTATGACATTTTTACAAAGGCACCTTTAGTGCTAGTGGAAACCCTGCGTAGCCAGCAGTTCCCGTCAGCTAGAGGAGAGAGGCTGTGGTTAGAGGCTTTGAAGGACTAGTTGGAGAGTTTGCTAGAGAAACAAGAGTACTAGATTGAGTAATAGATTGAAAATAGGGGGCTGCTAAAACAGATAGAATGAAATGCTGGAAGGTAGAAGGTTGAGTTTTTATGAGCGGTTATACGTAAAGGCCATAATCCATGCAATTGACCGTAAAGATCTGCATCAGAGTAGTAACAATGGAAGTGAAGTTGTAGTCATGGATCTAAGAATGAGAATATTCTTTCAAGAAAGTTATGTTATGCAAGTCGTTATTCTAGTTACTGTGGAAGGAAAGCAAAAATTCAGGCAGCAGACACTTGAGCACCCACTATGGATCAGGCACTGTTCAGCTGGGAGGACCCGCGGTGCCTGTCCTTAAGGCTTCATGGTTCTGGTGTACCAGTTGGCAAACTTTTTCTGTAAAGGGCCGCATAAGCTTTGCAGTTCATACAGTGTCTGTCGCAACTGCTCAGCACTGGTTTTTCTGTAAAGGCAAGGGCCTGCCTGTGTTAAAATAAAACTTTACTTATGGACACAGGTGGTGGGCCAGATTTGGTGACCCACTGTCTCTTTTTTCCCACATTTAATCTAGAATCCCACATTAGTACTTGGTGGTCAGCCATTTGGAAAGTGATTAATTTTGCTGATGTTATGTTTCACCTCCTGCTCTCTTCTGGGAATCGTCAAATGCATGGAGCCTAGAAATTATTCTCTGGGTCTCCAAATACCCCCAAAGGGAGAAAATGTGTTGTTAGACCGTATCAGCTTCTTTAGCCGTATCAGCTTCTTTAGCTGTATCAGCTTCTTCAGCTGTGACAAGTAAAGTGAATTCCCTTTGTGTTCAACAAATGTCATTGATGGCTGGTAGAAGCCCTTAGCTGTGCCCTCTAATCTAATAATTGTACTTAGGAAAATTTATTTTGAAAGATTAATTCAACAATAAAAAAAGTCAGAGCTCAGAACTTTTCATTTCAGTGTGTATAAAACTTTTACATTTTCAGCATAAAAATTGTAGCCAGCCCAAACGTTAGTAGTAGTCAATCAAATTATGATACATGGTCCATATAGAATAATTTGCTGTAATTAAAAGTTATGCTTTTGGGGGCCAGCCCTATGGCCTAGTGGTTAAGTTTTGGGCTCTGCTTCTGGGGCCCTGGTTTGGTCCCCAGGTGCAGACCTACACCACTTGTTGACAGCCATGTTGGGGTGGCAACCCACATACAAAGTAGAGGACGATTGGCACAGATGTTAGCTCAGGGCAAGTTTTCTTCAAGCAAAAAGAGGAAGATTGGCAACAGATGTTAGCTCAGGGCGAAACTTCCTCAGGAAAAAAAAATTTATGCTGTTGACAGTAGCACTCAATGGAAGTTATTTTCTCTACAGTGAAAAAATAAAACAACACAACATAGCCACAGTGATTGTAGCTGTCTTTTTTTTTTGGCGAAGAAGACTGGCCCTGAGCTAACATCTGTGGCAATCTTCCTCTAATTTTTTTTTTTTTTGAGGAAGATTAGTCCTGAGCTAACATCTACTGCCAATCTTCCTCTTTTGGCTGAGGAAGACTGGCCCTGAGCTAACATCCATGCCCATCTTCCTCTACTTTATATGTGGGACGCCTGCCACAGCACGGCTTGCCAAGTGGTGCCATGTCTGCACCCGGGATCTGAACTGGTGAGCCCTGGGCTGCCGAAGTGAAACGTGCACACTTAACTGCTGCGCCACCGGGCCAGCCCCTTCCTCTTAATTTTTGTATGTGGGATGCCACCACAGCATGGCTTGATGAGCAGTGCGTAGGTCTGCACCCAGTAGCCAAACCTACGAATCCCGTGCTGCTGAAGCAGTGTGCAAACTTAACCACTACACAACCAGGCCAGCCCCTGTAACTGTGTCTTTTAAAATTCAGCAGTAACTTTGTGCTTATGAGTGTGTATATGTGTTAGAAACCAGATAAGAAATAAAAGGAGAAATAAATAAGTCCTGTTAGCAATGGGGTAAAAGTGTTGACTCTGAATAAGAGGGCTAGGGCGGTTGAGTGTTGGTTGAAGAAGGAGGGCTAATAATCAGTGCTTGGGGAAAACCCAGCTTTTCTGTGGCGGCATACTGACCTCATCAAGAGAGCAGGTGAAAGCTGCATGGGCACTGGGGGACTCTGTGCCTCACTGAGAATAAAATATCGAAACACGGGCAAAGGACATCATAGAAGCTGGGTGCCAAAATGACGTGATGTCACATGCCTTCTTTGTGTGAACCTGCAGGAAGACACACAAGAAGCAACACTCAGGTGCTTCAGACAGCTTCCCAGAATTTTCTGAAAAATGCTTAGTAAAGAACACCATGTGTGCTAAGGAGAGAGGAAAACTTGAAGACATAGCACAAGTATGCAAGCCTTGTTATGAAAGTCTGATTTCCCCCCGATAGGGGAAAGGGAAGAAGTTCAAGAATCCCGTTACACTGAAAGGCCTCTTTCAACCTTGCTCTGTTCTGCATATTGCCCAGAAATCAAAGGAGAGCATCTTGCAAATGTTGCAGAGGTATTGGGAGAATGTTAAATAATACGGCAGGTGATAAGCTGCCTTATAATAAATCTGCTGAACTGAAGACAATTTTAAAAAATGTTACTGCTTTACCAGATTAAAGGAGAGCCTGATATAGGAAAGATGTCCTAAATGCAGCATGGTAACCTGGATTGGATCCTGGAGCAGAGAAAGGACATTAGTGGAAAAACTGATGGAATCCAAATAAAGTCTGGGGCCGAATTAATAGGAATGCACCAGTGTTAGTTTTGATAAATCTACCATGGTAAAGTAAGAATTAGATAGTTAACATTAGGGGAAACTGGCCGAGGGATATATGAGAACTCTGTACTATGTTTAATAATCTAAAATTATTCCAAAGTAATAAGTTTATTTCAAAACAAGAGAGTTTTCAAGAATGAGAAGAGCAAGACCAAGGAAGAAGGGGAAGAAGATGTGGATGAGGTGGTTCAAGATAAAGTTGATGAATTAGTTGGTTTTAGTGCAGGTTTTCCTCCTCTCCAAGGGAATCAACTGCCCAATACACATCTCACTTGTTTTTTAAACAAGACAATTGAAATTGTAAGGATGTGTAAGATAATATTTTTGTATAGCAAACCTACTATTAAAGTAACCCTGTTTTTTAACAGTGTTTCCAATGGCTGTTAACCTTGTATGCTGCAGTATGAGGCTGTAACTTGGCCTGGAAATTTAAAGCAGGTCATGTATATGGAATTATGTATGAGATTGTATGCTTTTGATACAACTTATACTAAATAATTGTTCTGTGAACTGAGTACCCCTTTATAATTGAAAATGTTGCGGCTCTTTTGTCGACATTCTAAATGCTTCTAAGTATATACAATCTTTAAAAAAACTTTAAATAATAGCAATTGCTCTATGGAGAGATGACTCCCTTTGAATACTGATGGGTGCCAGTGATACTTTTCCTGTGACTTTATGGCAGTTTATGCTTATCTTTGTGACCCTTGCAGGCTTGCAGGGTGGGTCTAAAAGCCAGATAAGAGACTAAAAAAGGAATACTTCTTTTTTTCCATCCTCACCCCTGGCCTGTGCCCTCCACCCAGAACTGGAGGCGAGCAGAAAGTAATACTCTTGAAATTTCTAGGTAGAGTGTAATTACCTGATCATAAACACCTGAGAACTAAATAAATATATGTGGTAGTTTTATTTTTCTTTTAAAGATTTTATTTTTTCTTTTTCTCCCCAAAGCCCCCCGGTACATAGTTGTATATTTTTAGTTGTGGGTCCTTCTAGTTGTGGCATGTGGGATGCCGCCTCAGCATGGCTTGATGAATGGTGCCATGTCCACACCCAGGATCCAAACCCGCATAACTCTGGGCTGCTGAAGTGGAGTGCGTGCCACAGGGCCGACCCCTAGTTTTGTTTATTTTTTAAACCTTCTTGTTTATAGACCAATATAGGGGATGGTTTAGTTTTTTTAGTGCCTTTAAATTATAGTGATGCTTCCTGATAGACTGTGATCATTGTATTTTAGGATTCTGCAATTCTTTAATAGATTAAAAACACCTTTTTTGACCAAGGTTATCAGACTCTTGGGTAACTTTCTTTGGGAGTAAAAATATTTAAAATATGCTGCTTCCTAAGATGTAGGATTGGTGAAGTTGGAGAAGGATAGGGTTGGCTTATTTAAGTTATTCTTTGTTTTGAACATCACTAATGTTAGAGCTGTAAAACATTTTTATTCAAACCTTTCTGTTTACTATGCAGGCTTACAGTGGAACACCTCTAACAGAAGAAAAGGAGAAAATAGTCTGGGTCAGATTTGAAAATGCAGATTTAAATGGTATGGTTTTAACTTTTTGGGGGACTTATTAATTAAATGTTTGTTTGAGGTTGACCTGATTCCAAAAAAAAGAACCCTTACTTTAGTCAGATTACTTTCTCCTACGGTAACTGTTTATCTTTTAAAATAAATTGATTTTTAATTTAAAAAATAACATAACCACTCTACGGGAGCTTCATTAGAACTAATATTGTATTGTACAAGTCTGAGAGGAACTGTAATATATGGAGCCTAGCCTTAAATTTAAGTCCAAGTAAGGTAAAAATTTCTTAGAAAAGGAGTTATTAATTCAAGTTTGATCAGTTGTATAGAATTTGTAAGTGGAAAATCATTAGTGTTGAACTTTTTAGTCTTTAAAATTATTTTTTCTGAACAGAATTTATGCCAGTCCAAGCCCTGCTTGTTTTCAGACACATTTCATGTCATTGCTCCTTCCTGCTCCCTCTTGCAAGGGGGCTGCCTCTTGTCTGTTTCCCAGGCTACCATGTCTGCTGTCTTCTGGCTGAGTCTGGGAGGCACTGGTGAGAAATTGAGCGGGAGGATGGGAGAAAGGGAAGAGCATTATTCCCTCTCCCTCTCTCTGTCAGCGGCTGCATTTCCTCCATGGTTCTAGCCGCCCCTGGACAGCTCCACTGGCTTTCCACTTTCTGCCAGGTCACTCCGGCAGCCTGCACTCCTCTCTGTCTCCCTAGTCTATGGTTGGTAATGCCTTCCTGCTGTTGCTAATCCAACAGGTCGCCTTACAGTTCCTTTTTTGGCTTCTCAGCTGTTCTATCACCTGTGTAACTCGTTGTCTGCATTAAATTCCTAATTATAAATACACTGAGTTGTTTTCATATCCTAGTTGGACCTTGACTCATACTATACTCTTGAGTCTTTGTCTCCCCTAAGACTTTTGAAATGTGATGCCATATTTTCCTTTAAAAGTTACTGTCCAGGATGAGAGAGGCTAACTGTCACTTCTGCAGATTGGTTTCTTTTGAATTTTGAATTCTCTATCAACTGATTCGTTCAAATAATCACAACTTGTTGGGCTCTCATTGTGGGGAATAAAACGTTCATTTGTGTGGTTGACTATTTATGATAGATAAACTTTTCCTACTGTGTTTCTCTTTGAAAGCTTTTGTATTTTTAATTTTCTTTTTTATAACTGTCAAATTTCCTTGTTTACTAGTATATTCTCCCTTTTTTTCCTTCTTTATTAATTACTATTTAACTGTTCATCATCTTTTGTTTTCTGTCGCCTTTTCCATTTGAATTTAGACTCTTCTTTTCCTCCTGGAAGTAGATATTTGCTTTGTGGATGTCAGAATGTATTAGAGGATTTTCTTATTTTAATAAGAAAGAAAACTTAGTTGTGGTCTTGAAAATATTAGCGCCAGTTAGTAGCAAAAGCTTGTTGTACAACATATGAAAAATGTTAAAAATAATTAATTTTTAAAAGATTAGGTTCGTGTCAGCAGTTAAAAATAAAATAATTTTAAAATCATTTGAAATAACATTTGAAAAGTGTCATCAAAATAATTTTTACCTAGGTATGGTTTTGTTTGTTTTTTTAACAGCAAGTAAGAATTGCTGGGGTAATATTCTATAAACCTTTTGTTTTATTGAAGTAAAATGCATCTGGAAATGTAGCTGGATCCTGCTTGAGAATTATCTTAGTACGATGTGTCCTAGTGAACTTACCATGGTTGTCCTTAACTTAATATCTCATATCCCAGTTGATTTATTAAACTCTGAAATTTATACATCTTCCTCTTAAATACTTCAGTACACTCACGTGTCCCTTGGTCTCTCCTTTCTATGTTGTATTGATGTTGTATGAAATTTTAGCCTGGGTTTTTATGGATATGCGTTTTTTTTTTTTGGCCAGGAAAGATTCATCCTGAGCTAGCATCTGTTTTTTTTTCTTTTCCTTCCCAAAGCCCCACTACATAGTTGTATATTCTAGTTGAAAGTTCTTCTAGTCTTCTATGTGAGCCACCGCCGCAGCATGGCTACTGGCAGACAGTGGTGTGGTTCCATGCCTGGGAACTGAACCTGGACCGCTGAAGTGGAGTGCGCTGAACCACTAGGCCATCAGGGCTGGCTCAGGATATACTTTTTATAATCTCTGGCCCTAGGAGTTTGTGTATATACTTGTGTGTATTTTAAGGCAATAATAAATATTTCCAAGATATTTGATCCCCCTTACTTCCCCAGTCTCTTATAGCATTTCTTAAATTTGTCTCTTATTTGTGTTCTTTCTTCAAGCATGTTTTCATTTAGGTCTTTGTGTGGCAAACCTTCTGAGATATTTACAATTGAAAGGAAATTTGGCGGTGGGAAGGAAAAAGTGGGGTTCATTGGCTGCAGGTCCAGCGTCTCCCTAAACAAGGCTAACAAGGACAAACTTTTTCATTACATTGGGGTTTCTTGATCAATCTGCCCTTCCTTTGTTGTGCCTGCTGCAGCCGGGATGCAATTCCTTGTTCGTTGCCTTTTGTCTTTCATGATACCTAAGGGAGATAGTGGAGGGGATTCTTCTGATGGCGGCCATGCTTGCTTAGCGTGCTGCTTCTTTGTAGAGCAGTTAGGGGTACCTGGAGATTCTATTTGGTATTCAGGCTTCTCTTTGCCAGACTTGGAGGTTTTTTTGGTACAACAATTTAGAAGTCTATTACCGGGGCTGGCCCAGTAGTGCAGCCATTAAGTTCGTACGTTCTGCTTTTTGGTGGCCCGGGGTTCGCCGGTTCAGATCCCAGGTGCGGACGTGACATTGCTTGGCAAAAAGCCATGCTGTGGTAGGTGTCCCACATATAAAGTAGAGGAAGATGGGCATGGGTTAGCTCAGGGCCAGTCTTCCTCAGCAAAAAAAAAAAAAAGTCTATTACCTGTCTATAGATTTAAGTTATTTTATGTTATTAATGAAACTGTATTACTTATTAAGCAATTTAAAAGTTGCAGTTTTTGAGTTGAAGTCTGCTCTGGTGATTGCTTTCTTGGAGCTCTGCTTTTCTGCTTGGAATTATAAAGCCGTGCTAGTTGGCCCCCTTCCTCCAGGCTGCAGCCCTTTTGATTATGGCTTATCATGGTGGAGGGTGGAGTAGGTAACTAACAGGAGATCCTTCTGAGGAACCTGGCCTATTGGGATTCTCCGGTCCTGGATCCTCCTCTGACCTCCATTCCTAATCAACGTACTGACTTTGGCTTGGTGTCAGGTAGAGACTGCAACTTTTGGATCTCATTGGAGAGTGGGATTAAGGCCCTTTGTGTCCTGGTCACTGTTCTGTTTCTGCTTTAAGGCAGTCTGATTTATACCTAAGCTTGTTTTTCTTGAGGCACTGTACTGAAAAATATGTAAGAAATAGCCTGAACAGTTTAATATCCTGACATTTTTCTGTCAGTTTCCCTAAAGGTGAGCATATAGTTTGAGTTCCAGAACACATCGGGTTAACCAGCTTGTTTGCTACAGTATAACAAGAACTGTCAACTTCACAGCCTGTGAGGAGAAATTCTTCCCACCCTGTAGCCCAAACTGACTTGGTCAATTCTAATATCAAGGTCGAGTACTATACTTAGGTATCAGTTTTTATATTCAATAGGCCTTTTTTTCAGTGGCAAGTGATTAGTTTAGGGGAATCTTAAAAAAAAAAAAAAGGTTTTTTTTTCCTGCCCATAGCCCCAGTACATAGTTGTATATCCTAGTTGTAAGTCATTCTAGTTCTTCTGTGTGGGATGCAGCCACGGCATGCCTGATGAGCAGTGTGTAGGTCTGTGCCTAGGATCCAGACTGGTGAACCCTGGGCCACCAAAGCAGAGCATGTGAACTTAACCCCTCTGCCACAGGCTGGTCCCCTAAAAGTTTTTTTAATTGTGGTAAAATACACATAACATAGAATTTACCATCTTAACCATTTTTTTTTTTTCCTGAGGAAGATTAGCCCTGAGCTAACATCTGTTGCCAATCTTCCTCTTTTTTTGCTTGAGGAAGATTAGCCCTGAGCTAACACCTTATCAGTCTTCCTCCACTTTATATGTGGGTCGCTGCCGCAGCATTAACTGACGAGTGGTGTATGTCCGAGCTTCGGGTCTGAACTTAGACCACTGAAGCGGAGCATGCTGAACTTAACCACTATGCCACAGGGCAGGCCCCTATGTTAACCATTTTTAAGTGTGTAGTTCAGTAATGTTAAGTACATTCATATTGTTATGCAACCAATCTCTAGAACTCTTTTCATCTTGTAAAACTGAAACTCTGTATCCATTAAATGACAACTCCACATTCTGTGCTTCTCCCTGGCCCCTGGAAACCACCATTCTACTTTATGTCTCTATGAATTTGACTATTCGAGTTACCTCATAAGTGGCATCTTACAGCATTTGTCTTTATGTGTCTGGCTTATTTCACTCAGCATAATGTCCACAAGGTTCATCCACGTTGTAGCATGTGTTGGAATTACCTTTTTAAGGCTGTGTAACATTCCATTGTATGTTTATACCACATTTTGTTTATCCATTCATCAGTGGTCGTTTGGGTTGCTTCTACCTTCTTGGCTTTTTGAATAATGCTGCTATTAATATGAATGTGCAAATAGCCCTTTGAGTCCCTGCTTTCAATTCTTTTTGAGTATATACCCATAAATGGAATTATTGGCTCATATGGTGATTCTGTTGTAGTTTTTTGAGGAACCGTCCTAACTGTTTTCCAAGGAGGAATTTTTTTTGATCTGCTCATGTAGCTGGGAAGGATAGTGGCTTGATACTTTTAGTCTTCCACTTCTTGTTACTCTTCTCTGAATGCTCGCTTCTCTTCTTTGACTTCTCTAATGAGGTTGGAGCAGAGAGTGCTCAAAGCTCTCTGTTCATGTCTTAATGATCATACTATAAGATCAAAGAAGAAGAGGTATTCTTTAGATGATCTAGAATGCTCGGTCTGAATCACCTTCCAGTTATGGAATAGTTGCAGTGCCCAAAGATGTAGTACTCGAATTGGCTCAGCTGGTTACGTGCCTGTCCCT